CTTCCATGTGAGAGTGGTGAAGCACTGGGATGGGGCTGTCCAGAGAAGCTGTGGTGTCCCATCCCTGCAAGTGTTCCAGGCCAGGTTGGATGGGCCTCTGAGAAACCTGGGATAGCGGAAGGTGCCCCTGCTCATGGTGGGGAGGCTGGAACAAGATGATTTTTAAGGTTCTACCCAAACCATTCTGTGAGTCTATGGAGGAAATGAGTATTTCTGGCTGCAAAATGAAAACTGGTTCTAGAACTTGTTGTAGAGCAGAATTATTGTCTCCCATGAGGCTCAGGATGTCACTGTTGCACAAAGCCAAAGAGCTGGAGATCAGGATCAGCTCAGCTCCAGGTGTGTGCACAGCTGGGAACACCAAATGGCTTTGGAAGATGCACTGTGCTCTGCTCTCAGAGTGGACAGAGCAGCAAATCAGAGCCATCCATAGGCATACCAGCACTTTTTGGTGTGTTTTTTGTTGGCTCTTAACCTTCAAACTGTTCTTCTAGGGTTGTGGAATTTCTCTATTCATCTGCTGGGATTAAGGGAAAAAAAACCCACAAACCCAAATACCTGTACTGTTGCAATCATTGCTTTGTCTGCTCTATTTTTTTAATTTAAATCAAGGGATTAGGAATCCACAATAGGAAAGTCCAGTAATAAGGCTGATGGAGCAATTCCCTGAGCCAAGAGCCAGATTGGTTTGTCTGATGTGTCCACACTCAGGCTGTGCCTCAGCATTTCATTGCTGCCATCAGCCAGGAACACAAGCACATCTGTAAAATATGGATTTCAGTGAGATTGGATTAGGCATGGATTTAACTTTGTGTATCTGAAGTTTACCAAAAACCCAGAGATGTTTAAATGTATTTTTAACCTTATTTTTTGCAGCAATTCTGATTAATGACTGTGGTTTGGAAGCCACCACCCTTGTACACCTAAAGAGTCTGTGAATGTTGGCTTTGCAGAAACCTTTCTTGGTGCCTTTCACAGCTGCACTTCTGTTTTACATTGGAAAGGTTTGACACCTCAGCAGTATAAAGTTATAGGTTTTATCCCTAAAACTTCCCAAATGCAATTTCCATTATTAACACAATTGTGACAGCTATAGTTTGTTTATATTGCTTCACCTGGGGCACATAAACTTAAAGGACTGAAAATACCTCCATGCAATAAAAGAATTTTATATAATTGCTACCTCTTGCTGTAAGGGACAGCTGGCCTTTGAAAGTTGGGAACTCATTTACGTCATTGAAGTAAAATGTAAGCCTGGGGTTTAAATGACTGTAATTTATGTTTCTGAAGCTCAAAACAAAAATTTAACTGTCTAAAGGGCAAATACCTTTCCAAACAAACTAATACTCATAATTCATCTTGGAGAGTGTATGTCTACAATCTCCTTCTAGAAGGCTTTCGATGGCAGTTGTTTTCTTTTGATACTTATTCTCTATTACCTCTGCTTTGCTATCCTGAATGTTAAAATGTCTCTTGACACTTTCCTAATTCAGCTGTTTTTAATGTTTCCTAATGTGCTGTGCAAGGCTGTACAGTCACCAGGGACACATCCCAAAGCTGTCACAGGGGGCTCTGACCAATGCAGCCCAAGGTAGGTGTGGAAGAGGCTGGGTCACCAAAGCCTCTTGAAAGCACTGAAAATTATTTATTTCATATGCTGGACAAAAAAAAAAAAAGTGCCCTGTGAGCAAAGTAGTTATAAATGTCCCTGCAGTTCTTGTGCTGAGAATTTTCTTGTCACTGTCTCTCAGCTTGTGTCTGAACATCATTTACATATTTTGGGTTTAGGGCCCCATTCCAAACAGCTGTTGCTTGTTTAGCTTTTTAAAATTTTTTCCCCCCTTGTTTTTAATTTATAATACTGAAAATCTCTCTGGCATGGGTTGACACCAAAAATGTTTGTTCTAGTCCTTGGATGAAAGCACCCACCCATGGCCCCTGCTTTTATGATTTACAAACTCACCAACATTTATTACGGCATTGCAAAACAACAGCGACAATAAGGAATTCAACCACAGCTCCCTCACAGCAAATTCCAGGCCCAGAGCTCCTCTGCAATCTTGGCCATCAGCAATGGGGATCCTGCATCCATTTAGATGGTTTATTTCCAAATCTCATTTGGGGTGTGATCATGCTCTGCCTTGGCTCTGTCCCACATTTGTCATTTGCTTTTAATATATGTTCAGATATAACCATGACTTAAAAAGGATTAATCTCATTTTCATACTTCTAAAGAGTTTGGTTGGGCTACCCAGTATAGCTCAGCAGAGAAGAGCAAATGGCAGATTCAGTCAGTCTTGGGTTGTATTAGTGTGAATTGAAATTGGGTTTCTAGAGCAAGAAGACCATGACAGGTGAATCCAAATTTCACCTGAGCATTGTGTGGGTGATCTTGATGCCTTCCTTAAAAACACCTTTTTGGGGAAAAGTGAATATGACTGCAGGCAAAGTATATCCTGCTGAAAGGAGGTTGGATATCCAGGTCCTGCTCTACCTGCCCTGATGACATGAGGGATGTGACCATGAACCTGCTGAGAAGGAGAGGGCACAGCCAGTGATGTCCATTTACACCTGGTGTGGGCTGTGACCATGGCCAGGCTGCTCCTGGCAGCATCCTCCTTGATCATCCTGGAGCTTTATTTAGTGTGCTAGCCAGGTGTTTGGGAATGCTGTGGCTCACTGGGCTAGCCAGGTGTTTGGGAATGCTGTGGCTCACTGGGGACCCTCTGTTAGCTGCTGAGGGACAAAATTCCCATTTTCCACGGAGGTTTTCCCCTGGCATGGGGAGATGTGGGTGCACACACACAAGTGAGACAGCTGGGATCCTGGCCGTGACACAGGCGCTCAGCAGCTTGCAGGCTGACCCTTGATGATGGATTATTTTCCCTTCAGAATCACAGTACAAGTATTGAGGTGGGAGTTTGGAAAAACACAGAAGTAGCTTTAGAAACTGTGCTCAAACCCTGCTCCCAAGTGAGAAGGGGAGCCTGAATGCAAGCCCAGTCCTTCCCTCCCAGCACAAGTGCAGCCCCTGGGCCCCTGGGATGTGCTGTCATGTCCCGGGAATGTGTTTCCTGGACAGGCTGTGTCCATCTCCCTCAGCTCCCTGTCCTGGTTCTGCCAGGACCATCCTTCCTCGCTCTGCTGGCTGAGCCTGCTCTGAAGGGACACCTTGTGCTGGGGATGGGGGAATTGCAGAAGGACCAGGACTCAGTTTTTGGAGAAGCACAGCTGCCTGCAGCTGCTGTGGTAAATAGTGAGTGGTAAATAGTGAGTGTGGATAGGCCACCCGAGTCAAAACCCAGAGCCTGACTGGCCTGAGACTGCCCCAAGGGCAGGAGTGGACCCAATTCCCACCTGCACCATCCAAACTTTGCCAGAGGCAAAGAAGTGAAGCTGGACTCAACCTGAATTGCTGCTGTACCCATGGGTTGTTGACTGAGAGGAAACAGTCCTAGATGCCAAATCACAGAATCCCAGAAGGGTTTGGGTTGGACGGAAGTTTAAAGCTCACCTTGTTCCAACCCCCCTGCCATGGACATGGACCCCTTCCACTGGGCCAGCTTGCTCAGTGAAGAATATATTCCTAAAAGAAATTTAATAGTCAACAGAACCATCAAGTCTGAGCCACTGGTCACCACCACGTGTGCATGGAGGTGGTGATGGGGCTGGCAACCCAAAGAGCAATTTCCTTTCTTACTCCCCTTCTAGGGCTGGATGTCACAGGATGCAGAGGAAGGTCAATGTTTCTAAGAGGACACCACAATGAGGAGGTTTGCTGCCAAGCAGGAGTTTGTCCCTTTGCAGGAACTCACTGATGGAGGTGATTGCCATGATCAGGGACTGCTGTTCGGGTCCGCACAACTTTTTCCAGTCCTCCCTCCGTGTCACTGGTACCTTTTCTTTACCTGCTCAGAAACAGCTGCAGATGCTGAGAATTTAAAGCACAGCCCTTAAGATCTAATGTAGTTGAAATGTCTATAAACACCTTGAGTCTCTTTAGAGATCTCTGTGCCTGCCAAACTGTGCAGCTTAGTAGGATGTCTCATTATTCACAGTGCTTCCCCCTCCTGCCGTCCATGATTATGTGAGAACTGAAGGAAAAGTACCTTTAAAGACTTCAGTACATCCTCAATGCCTGAACTGAAAAAGTAGTCAAGGAAACTAACTTAATTAAAAAGTTGAAAACTTTTAATATTATTTAAGATGACCTCAAGACTTGGAGCATGTCTGCAGCCTTTTTTCCCAGCATTGGCAGGTAACAATAGTGAAATATTATCAGACTATTTTTTTCCTTATTTCTTTGTATTAATAACCCAAGAGCACAGATGAGATCTGTTGAACATTGATCACCAGGTTCTGTTTTATGGCTGAAATAAATCTGACTAGAGAACAGAAAAAAACATCCAGTAAAACCAGTGGCATGATTCATCATGATGGACATTCACTGATGGGAGCAGGTTGCTTATAGAAGTAAAATTTTGGTTTTGAGTAGAGATATGTATTGCACAGCTGACCAGGGATCAACTAAAATGGGTCCAGGCTATTAATCAGCAGTTATCTTCCCTGCATATGTGTATGTTGGGAGAATGACAAGATAATTGATCTAGAAGAGCTCCAAGGATATACAAGAGGTAATATTTTCTTGGACATTGATTAAGACAGAAATTTCATTTTCTCTTCCTTCTCAGGGCTGGGTTTCCCACAGTATGGTTTGGAGGCTGCAGAGCTGTGGAGCATCATCCATCACAGGAATGTCCCTCTAACAGGCAGGTGCTGACCCAGGTATATTGATGTAAGGTTTGGCATTAGGATCAGAATCTGGAAGCAAATCTCCCAGCCATTTCCACTCTGGGCAATTTGGTTTGTGCCATGGTGTGAAGCTGCAGCACATGAACTGGATGGGTCACTAAAACCCCTCAGCACTGGGACCAACCCCCTGAAACCCCCAGCAGGGGCACTGGGGAGAGCAATGCTGCTGTAACCACCAGCCCCCCTGTGCCACAAAGGTGTCAGGCAGCACAGCCATCCCCCAGCTCCTGAGTGAGCTTATTGCTGTCAATTCCAAATGAGATTGTAGGGACTTTCCACCATTTATTTGCTCATTGCCTCTCTCCTCCCCACAGGTGCAAAGAGTCACTTTTCTCCAGGGGAAGAACCTGTTTTCCTGCTGGACAGGAATGATGACCCGCTTGCCTTCTGCTTCACGCATCCATCAAACCCAGCCTCTGTGTCCCCTGGAGTCTTAATTTTCCTCTTGACAGCAAAGACAAATTACTCCCCCAGGGCTGTTTGCTCATGTCTGCTCAAGGTTTCTGTGACATTTCTTGAAGATGACCTGTTTTTTAAACACACAATGAGTTTTCTTTCCACTTCCACCTACCACTGTGAAGGTAGAGATAGATTAGCTTTAAAAAAACTTAATGGTGTCAATCTCTGACACATCCTCCCTCTCTGCTTTCTGCTTTAGGCTTCTTCTGGTTCCCAGATGTTGCCAGATGTAATTTTTTTCCCGTATTTGGGGTTGTCCTGCACAGATAAAGCAATATTTCATCATTGAGGTGCACCAACCAAAAGAAAATATATTTCAATTCTTTTTTTCAATCCAAGTTTTCCCAAACTCACCCTGAAATCTGCCTTTTGTGTCCCCCACCATACCCCCAGCTCCTAAATGGTGGGAAGTATTCCTGGGGGGAATATTGTCCTGTCTCAAGGATTATCCCACTCTCTCTGACCTCTTCTGGGTACACAGCACCAGAAGCTGGGAGCTGTTGTTCGAGCCATCAAACCAAAGGAAAGGGGTATTTGGTGTTCAGGACAATGGTTCACCTGAGGTGTTCCAGGAGATGCAAGCAAACATTACACCAGGAACATTTGCTGGTAGACAGCACTTAGGAATCACCAACTTTGTCAAAAGACAGTTGGGTGGTTAATCTCCCTCATATGTATTACTTTAAGGCTTTTAATAGATTTTAAGACTTTTTTTTTGGTTCCTTATTTATCAGATATTTCTGGAAATGACAGCCATATTTGTAAGTGTCCCAAAGGCAATTTCTTTCCCAGTAATGTCCCCTGGGACCAGAGTAAAGGAGTGGCCAGCCACCTGCCAGCCCCTCACCTGCTCACAGGTAACCTGTTCTCTGCAAAGCTGAACACAGCTCTTCTCTCCAGCCACACGGAAGGAACCTGACCTCTGCATGCCACCTGGGGGAGGCAAGCAGGCAGTACAAGGAGTCAGGATCTGGTTTTGTTACTGATATTTTCATGATGAGGCATGCGGAGAAATAGGGGATAAAGCACCTTCAATTACTCCATTTTCTCATTTTGGAGAGCTTGTCCTTGCAATATAGCTCTTTAATGTCATCCTCAGTAAAAAAGTCTTTAACTTCTCTCTTCCCAGAAAAATTGCCCTGCGGTATCATACATGGGATAGCCAGGTCTTGCACTGGAAATACCAAACACCCGGGTTGCAAGGAACACTGCCAGCCCTGGCTATGATTAAACCACATAAAAATGAAGGGACCCTTTGGCCAGATCCATCCAGTTGTTGAAAGAGAGAGGAATGTGACTGCCACTTCCCAGTTTCCCTTGGCACAAGGATTTTCCAGCCACCCAGCACATCTGAGGATGGGAAATGCTGCCGGACCACCTGCATGCTGGCTGTGCTCAGCAGCCAGCACATCCCTCCAAGTGTCAGCATTTCCAAACACAGCCTGAGCTTACATAAAGTCTTTCTGGTCCCACCTCAGTGACCCCGAGCCTACAAATGCTGCTGTGGGACTTTCCTCACATTGGAAGGAGCTCCTTGTTCCCATAAATTATAGAATCATAGAATAGTTTGGGTTGGAAGGGACCTTTAGAGGTCATCTAATCCAACCCCCAAATGGAAACATTGCAATTTGGGCACTCTACCATGCAAACTCTCCTTGGCTGTTGAATGCAATAATCACACTCTGGATAGCTCTGAGTTACTGTGCAAAGGGAAAAGGCCTCTCTCAAACCCCCTGCTTTGTCCTTTTACCATTTGTCTATGTGGCTGCTTAATATATATTGAATAATTTAAACAATCCACATGCCATAACATGCTCCCAAATGTTTAGTTGAGTGTCCCCAGATTTGTTTTGCATGTTTATCCTTCCATTCGTTAGGAACGTAAATGTTCTTTGACTTCACCCTGTGCCTTTCAGCATTATTTTATGGAAATTCCGATTTCCTGCACTGAAAGAAACCCTGATGATAATGAGAGGCTTGAAGCGTTTCAAACAAAGAAAAAGCAGATTGAGTCAATTCTTCATTTTGTTCTTAATCAAAACTAGTTGTGTGCATTTGCATTGACAATGAGCTCAGCACACAATGCTCCATATGGGATTGGCTGCTGGCACCCAGTGAATGGCAGGAGCCACCGAAAAACTCCCTGCTTTTCAAAGATTTAGGGATGACCTTGCTAAAGTGTCATTTGTCACTGCCTTCCTTGTCCAGAATCACTAGGAAAATCCCTGGGAACAGGCTATGGAATTGCAGAGCCCAGTTCACACAGGCCAAAGCAGCACAGCAGCACTTGCCTGCCGGGAAACAGTGGGAAATGAGAAACTGGAAGCTTTTAATGGAGGCCCCAAATATTCCTTTTTATGATTCTTTATCTGGATATTGGTCTTCTACTTCAAATGTTACTCATATTTCAACTACACTACTATACCAAGTCTACAATAAATATGAATGCAAACAAGCTATGGTTCATTAATTTGGACACTTATTTGCAATTCCAACGTGTCTAAAACACTTGGAAACAAACCACAAACTTTTACTGTTCCCCAGTTCAGACCTGATCTCCCAGAACTGCCTTCATGCTAATTCCAGTCCAGTCACACCCAGGAGGTATCCACATTTTAGGATCATGTCCTCCTTTTTGAGCACATTAACAGCCCCCAGCAGGGCTGTGGTGCACAGACTTCACAAGTCTGTTCTGCAGAGCATGAACAATTAGAGGAGGGAGGGATGGAGAGTCACACAGGCATCCCTGTTTTTGCTGTAGTGAGTGGCTGGACAAGTTCTCCTCAGGAAGGATTTATTTAGACTCATTTTGGTTTGTGGCTGTGAGAGGCTTGCAAAACTTTTCACCTTCTTTCCCTGGAGTCATGTATATTTTATGAGAAATTTAAGAATTACCTCTTATTAAAATGGGGATAGTGTAATTACCAATAAAAAGCAGATGTTATGGCATGACTAATGCTTGAAAATGTGTATGTAGCAAGTACAAAATACGAGCACATCCAGACTTTTCACCGAGATAATAAAAATTGTCTTCATTGAAACAAACTGGCCAAGTCACAGAGGTCTGAAGTCACAGGGAAATCATTACAGAAAACACTGAAAGGTTCCACGAAAGAGCAGCTTTGTTCCCACTGATCTCAGCAGCAAAATGTAAAGCAGGAGGTTGAGAACTCCCATCACTGTTCAGCTTGGCCGTGTCAGGAGGTGTTTGGAAAGGTGTCCCCTTAAAGCACCAAAACTCACCGTGCTGGGAACATCCTTCCCCTCCAAGCTATAATGAGCCCTAATTAGTGAGCTCCCTGCCACCTCCAGCACCTCTCAAGGGTCCACAACCCACCTGCAACAGTCAAGATCATTCCCTTGGATCGTTCCCAAGTATTTTGGCAAGGCGTATCAGGAGCAATCCACGTAGGCTGACTTTTGAAACAGGAATGTGCAAATAGCATGTAAATGGAGTTGTTCAACAAATCTGTTCAGGCAGTCCCAGGGTCCAGGAATTTCTGCTGAGCTCAAAACTTCCTCTCCCTTCCTTTCCTGAGAATTGCATTTATTGCTCTCTACAGATACCTGAAGGGAGGTTGTGGCAAGATGAGGGTTGCCTCTTCTTCCAGGGAACTAGAGATAAGACAAGGGGAAATGCCCTCAAGTTGCACCAGGGGAGGTTCACATTGGGTAGCATGAAAAATTCATTCACTGAAAGAGCAGTTAAACATCAGAAGAGGCTACCCAGGGAAAGGGAGGAGTCATCATCCCTGGAAGTGTTAAAAAATGAGTAAACACGGCACTCACAGCACGGTTTTGTGGTTATTCAGTCAGAGGTTGGACTTTATGATCTTGAAGGTCCTTTCCAATATTAATGATTCAATAATTCTATTACTTTTTGCCATGATGCACTCATTTTGTGAAATAGCCTTTGCAGCTCAGGCCATGTGTGGATGTCAGCCTGTGGGTATAAATCTGGGGGCAGGAAGATCTGTGCCTTGGCCAGGGAAGGCTGCAAGGGCTGTGGGAGCTGGAGGTGGGAGCTCAGCACCAGCCTGAATCACCACAGCAGCATGGGCTGGTGCTCACCCCTGACCACTCATCTCCAGATCCCAAGCCTGAGTCTTTGAGCTGTTCTCTGTCCCACAGCACAGTGATTCGGGGTACACTGGAGGCAGCAGAGATCTCCCCACTTTCCCCCTAAGTCCCTCCCATATTCAGTCATTATTTCCTTTGCACACAAATTCCATATCCAAATCTTCAGAGTATTCTTGGCCCTCCCAGAGTGTTAACTCAGTGGAGAAACCTCCAGCACTGTGCTGGGGTGTGCTGCAGGCTGGAGGGGCTTGATCCTGTTTGTTTGTACCAGCACTGGCTCTGTCATTCTGTGAAATGAAGCTAAGACATGTATAAGCAGCCTTGACAGCAATTAGTTCTGGCAGAACCTTTGTGGTAATGAATTTCAATGACTGTGGAGTTTTGGGTGCCTGAACACTTCATTAGCTGCCGGTATATCAGACTGCTGCAGCTGAGAAATCACATTATAATAAACCACTTTTTACTGCAGGCAGCAACCAGGATAATATATGGGATGAATAATAATAGTCCATTCAAAATTGTTCCTGTGCTTTAGAGCTTTGGATTTACAGTAAATAGATCAAATACTATGCAGAAATGAATATTATTCAGAATTTCTCCATTATCCAGCTATTTATGAGCATTTTTTTGTATTGTCAGAAAAGTTGCCCCACTCTATTACACTTGCCAGCTAAACTCTGAAACACATATATGTTGATGCAGTAATAAGAAAATAATCTCTAATGTAGCAAAATGTATTTTAAGTTTAAATGGAGGAAAATACATGATAACTATTTCAGTGTGAAATATCATCAAGACTGTCTCTTTTTATTTACAACATAATTTATTTTTTAAAGTATGGAAATACATGACTTATTGAGGCAATTCTCATGCTTTCTTCTATGTTTATAAACTGAAAATGCATTATTATAAGGACAGATATTGGGAGAGCAGCTTTGTGCAAGGGCCAATAGTGATAGGACAAGGTGGAAAGATTTTAACTAAAAAAGGAGAGATTTAGGTTAGAAGTTAGGAAAAAGTTCTGTACTCAGAGGGTGGTGAGGCCCCAGCAGAGATTGCCCAGAGAATCTGTGGCTGCCTTATCCCTGGGAGTGTTCCGAGCCAGTTTGGATGGGGCTTGGAGCAACCTGGGATAGTGGAAGGTGTCTCTGCCCATGGCAGGGGGTTGGAACGAGATGAGATTTAAGGTTCCTGAAAACCAAAACCACTCTGTGATTCTGTGATTATGTTGCAATAAAATGGAATGTTACTTATCACTGTCTTTGCAATAATTAGCATGAAAATTAAAAACCCCACGTTAATCTGAAGCTATTTCTATGAGAATTTGTCCTTTTAATGTGTCACTTTGGCTGCTGGTCACATGGTTGGAAGCCCATCAAACATTCTCTCCTACACTGGAGAAGGAGGAGGTGAAGGAAGGTGATGTCTGGTTTATCAGGGCATGTCTCAGCAGCTCATTACTTCACTGGCAGAGATAAAAGCAACTGATGCTTCTTTAGAAAGTAGTTAGCCCATCTGCCAGCATCCCAGAAAAGCCAGGATGTCCACAAGACTGTACTGGGGAGGAGGAAAGGGACAGCTCTGCCAGCAGGGCACTGAGGTGGGTGGGGTGCTCCCCCTCTGTGATGCTCCCCTGGAACCCCATCACCATGGCAGCCAGCGATGCAGGATGGTGATTCTTTCCCCTTCCAGGATTCTTCTTGAGTACATGGTAACTATAAAAACATCCTTTGTCTCACCCTGGTGAGACAAGCAAATAGCCAAGAAGCAGATAAACTTTGTAGTGCAAAATTATTTGTGTGTGCTTACCTGTAACAGCAAGATGACCTTTTTTCCCCAGTAAAATATTGTCTTATATAGCAATGATCTGTTAAATTAGCTTTCCAAATAAAGACAGAGGTAGAAGAATAATTGATTTGGAACTTCAAATTCTTTTAAAGATATGAATTGCATATGCCCATTTTGGTTGTACAGAAAACTCCAAAAGAATATCTCTGGAGGAGAGAAGGATTCTACAATATTTTTTTTCAGGCTTTACACAAATTTCAATGTTTTTCCATTTTCAGAATGCTCAAAATCACTGCTGATCTACAAAGATTTTCAGGAGACCATAAATCACCCTAAATAGCCCAAGGCTGTGGGAGTTCTTTTCTTTGGCTTGGAATCTTCCAAGGCAGCTCATGAAATCTGATGTAAGTTTAACCTCAAACGAGGTAAAAACACTCTCTGCCATACAGTGCTGAACAGTAACCTGTGAAAAATCAGGCAGTGAGACTGGAGGATGCTTTTTGTTATTGCTGTTCTTAATCAATAAGGAGAAAACACCTAATCATGTATTTTTCCTGTGTTTACTGAAGACTGCTTGAGAGTATAGGAACTTGGTATTTAAATGTAATTGAAAACCCTACATAAGGAAATATTTCAAGCCTCAAGAAGAAAGAGCTGAAAGACAATGTGAAATCCTTATGATCCTCATTCTTTAACTGGCCTGATTCTCTCTAAGCAGTGGCTGAGGTGCCATGGCCAGGGAGTAGAGCAGGACAGATCAACACTGGGGACTGACTTTGCTTGTGGCCCTTGCCCATAATTTTATCATGTTTGATCAAATACAAATTTATTTCAGGATGTGGAGACAGAACAACACCACAGCCCCATCATTCTGCCCAGGAGGCTTGGGAAACATCCCGCTGACCAGAGACAGTCTTGAAGACCTGAATCCCAACCTCCTGCTTTGCAATGAGCAGCCTGGCCCAGATTCCCATCTGCTGGACCTCGAGTACCTGCCCTACTACAGAACATCCCATATCTGCCCAGCATCTCACATCTTCACTGAAAGAGAAAAAAGCTCCAGTGAAGGCAAGGCTAACACTAAGCAGGATGAGAAAGTGAGTTATTCAGCCACTCCACAGGATATATTCCACACTGTGGGACATGTGAAGAGCTTCTTGGCCAACCACTTGCATACAGATTATATATATGGTTAAATTGGGTTAAATACGTGCAAATCAGATTCAGGTGAACTCACCTTGAATGTTTCTAAAAGGGCTAAGGGCTGGGAAGGGAAGAAGAGAAGCAGGCCCATCTCACATCAAACTGTTACTCAGAATTAGGCCCTTGAAATGCTGACTTGTGCTCTGAAAACACAATGCAGGAGCAGAGCTATCTGCAAGGATGAGATACCTGGGGCAGACCTTGCAAGGTCCCCTGACAAGACCCCTGTGCTGCCCTGTGGGGCACTGCTGGCTCTGGGGGGACCTGTCCCACTGCTGTGGGGGCCTGCTGTGCTCCCAGGGGCTGCGTTGTTCCCGACGTCCCATCACCCGACACCTTGCTCCTGCTCGTGTTCTTTTCAGACCATCCTGCCAAGTTTGGGGCTGAGCAAGAGGACAATTTCTGCTATGAGCAAGGAGGAGCCCCTCGCCCAGGAGCTGCTGGGATCCAGCAGCTCTGCACTCTGCCTGCCCACAGCCTCCTGTCCCAGCGGGCTCCCGCGCCTCAACCAGCCCCCGTCCTGCACAGGCTACTTCCCTTACTACAGGACAGAGGGAGGGATTTGCAGTGGCCCACTCCAAAGAAAAGGGTCCTTCACTAGGATAGAAGATCTGGAGACCAAAGATGGAGGACAAAGGGGAGGATGGAGTATTTGGAATCTCCATGGCAGCTGCCTGGTGTCCTGAGAAGAGCGAAGGGAGTTTGTGAGTGCAGATGTGAAGTAGAAACTCTTGAAACCTATGGCAACATGAAAAATCTGCATGAATTTGAATGAAATGAAAATATTCCTTCTCTCCAAAAAAAAAAAAAAAAACCCAAAGTGATATCCCAGACTGTATAATGTAAGCAGAAAGAAGCAGACCAGGAGTTTGGGAAATCCAATAAAATTTCTCTGGATGTGAGGAAGAGAACTGTGCTTCTCTGTAGTTTATCCCAAAGGTGAGATGCTCACTCAAGAGATGTGCAGCTATGGGAAATGACCAATGGGAAAAAAAAAAAAAAAAGAATTATTTATATCTAAGTTGCTTGGAGGAATTAAAAAAGAGACATAATTTCCAGTTGGGATTGGGAAATACATTTCCTTTCCCCCTCACTACAATCCTTCCATTGTATTACTGGCATCTGTTAGATGTGTGCACAACAGCCATACACAGGAGGAAAAGAAAACCATTTTTATTTAAATTCTTTGTCAATATGATTTTTTGAACACATTTCCATTATGTCTGTCTTCATTTCACTTGCACAGTCAGTAATGAAAATACTCTTGATTACTTTAATATGTGCAACTAGGAGCTTCTATAAACATCAGTTTTGATGCTGGAAAACTGGAAACAGCATCCAGGAACATTTTGGCAACGGTGAATCTTGATTTACACCAGATGCGGATCTAACCAAAAAAGGTCAGCTCAGTATTTTCTTTGCAGTTGTGAAATCTTGCAACATCCTCTCCTTACTGCCAACTATGTCACCTCCTCGAGACACCACACCAGTTGATGAAACATGGCCCTTTCCCATCCCTGCACTGTGCACAGACAATTTCTGTTCAAAATAGATGAGTTTATTCCAACCAGTTAGTAAATAATGATTACACACTGGTGTGACAGTGTACTGACAAGCTGTGTCTAAAGGTATCAATGTTACCTATTTTAAGGATCAAGGAAGAAAAACACATCACATTTCACTATTTCACATCTCCATAGATAGACCAGTTTTCCCTGTGGTAAGTGTGACACTGAGACCAGGAATCCTACAGCCATACAAGGTACATGATGGTTTTAATAATAATTTCTGCTTACACTGCACTTCAGTGGTTTTTGATCAGTTGGGAAGGGATTTTGGTTAGATTCAGGAAATCAGCAGAGCTCCCAGACAGGAGCTTTGATTTCTGTCTTTTTTCTAGTCACTGCCCAGGATGAAGTGGTGCCTCACGCCCAGGATTTAAAAAATGGTAAAGAACCTGGGGTCAGCCAGACTGGTGAAAATTCATCCCAATGTCCTCACACAGCTGCCCCAGCTGGAATCAGGAATGCAACTAGAGCACCAACCATGCCTTCTGCATCCCTGCATTCCCAGTACTGCATCCCTGTATTCCTCAGTACCTTCCTGCCACCTTCCTGCTGAAAAACAAGATAAATCAGATTCCAGATGAACTAAGTCAGACTGTATGAAACAGCTTCTGGTTTTAAGCACAAAGAAGGCTGACATGTTGGGTACGTTGAAAGAAAGCCATGCAAAATAGAGTGAGATTATCCAGCTCAAGGGATCAGGCAGAGGAGGGAAGGAATTCTGTCTGAAAAGCAGGTGTGGATTGTTCTGAGAATATTAAATTCAGCATTTCCATAAATTTGGCATATTAAAATACATTGAATGATGTAGTATCAAATCCACAAATCTGCCTGATTTTTGCTAGATAGACATTAACTGCTTTCTAATGGCTGTATTTAATTTATGGGAACAGTGAACACCAGAAAGCAAGGATCTGGGAGATGAGAATATTACAAGCTTTATGCTCATGGATCAGAGAAGCCTAATTTTAATCAAAAGCTGGCAAATATATAATATCGTATCATATCATATCATATCATATCATATCATATCATATCATATCTCATATTGTATCATATATTGTATCAGTCATATCATATGCTGCCATCTTGAAATCAGAGCTGAGCAAAACTCATGATTCTAATGTATTTTCCATACAGTCTTGCTCAGAGGTAAAAAGGAAAGGATGGAGGACAGTGTTGGAAGCTTTGTGTTTCTTTCTAAGGTTTATGCTACTTTATTACTTTTCCACATAGTTAACATCCTGTACACAGGCAGAAAATGATTTTTCTCAAGCTGTTCCATGGATCAGATTCCTGCCTTAGTGAGGACATCATGTGCCTTCACCCCAAGAGTGGTACTAGGCACACAGTTTGGTTCCTCCTTGTGTACTGATAATGTATTTCCTTTCATCTCTCTATTTGAAAAATTCATAATTACTGCCCTAAACCTTCAGTTCTTCAACACCAGCAGTCCTCTGGAGTTTGAAATACAATCTGCAATTACTTTGATGCATGCTGTGCAGTCCTCATTGATCTCGTTTAAGCTTTTAATCTCGTGAATTCACAAAGTTAATTCATAAAACAAACCAAACAAATCATGGCAAAGTATGTCCTTTAATAACAAAAGTTGTGATGATCATAGATGTCTTTGGGGATTTCTGATAATGCAGGTTCTCTCTCAACAGTTGATGTCAGATTTCATTTTGAAAGGGGGGACAAGGCTCTAGCGACAATATTTGTTAGTGTGTGTAGCCCTTGGGAAGAACCTACTTCAAAGTTAATGAAAGGACTCACAGAGACATGGCAGAGCATGGAATTTGTCTCTGAAGTCAGGTACAAGAGAGTTGTTTTAGCAAAACACTGCAGGCCTTAAGATCTAGACCCAAAGATGAATTAAATCAATGAGAGAACTCCATCAGCCTCAACAAGGTGAGGTTGGGCCTCCAGTCTCCCCATGTGGAAGAGAACAGCACATTCCTTATATAAATGTGAACCCAAATAAACACAGAAAGTTAGCTCCCCAAAATTTAAAAGTATTGGTGTGCACCCTGCCCCAAGGACTGATGTTAGAGGGCTCTCCTTTCTCTCCCAAATCTGGATTGTATCAATGTATACAACTAAATAATTTTCTTTTGAACTCTGCTAGAAGGGAAGCTTTTGGCAAGTAGCATTTATCACAGAAGAGCAGAACTCAGCATGAAACAAAGACACTTAAATAGGTCCCTGCCCAGCAACATGATGGGAAGGAATGGAAGTGAGTCATTAATAGGAAACAACTTGGCTTCCTTTCAGGACTGTATTTATGGTGAGTGACTCGAGAATACCTTGAATATACACCTCCATGCAAATACCAGAACGTGCACATTACTGGGTAAGCCCAGGGATGGGGAACAACACAGCTCTCTGCTGGGACAGCCTAATCCAGGACTGGGTGTTTTGCCAATGCAGTTTAGGAACCACGTCAGAGAGGAGGAGCTGTGTTCTGCAGAGCTGGGGTGGGTTGAAGGCAGTGCCTGAGGGCTGTGCTGAATGCAGAGCAGCAGCAGGAACACGTGGAAATACAAAGGAATGAAGAAGCAAGGTCTGGTTATCCACAGGGAAGCTGATGCGACAGGAGGGGAAGCAGCTGTGCTTCTGTCACACCTGGACCCTGGAATGGATTCCATTAGTCTGTCCTGACACACAGACATGTTCCTGTATCTAACTAGAGCTATATCCTAAATCTCACAAGATCGAACGTGTCTGGACCCAAGTGAGGTACCTGCCCAAATATACCTGTTCCCCAAAATATGAAAAGATGGGCTGGGGTGAAGGCACAGGCTGGCCCAGTCTGCAACCCTTTCTCAGTTAATGGTGCAAGTGGGAAGGGATGGTGAAAAAGCAAAGAGCCTGCTGACCTACATAATCCCCCGTAAATCTATCTGTCCCTACCCCAGTGCTACCAGTTCCCATTAACTCCTCCCAGGCTCCTGGGGGCACTTTTGCCTTTCCCAGGAACACAACTTGATGGGATTTGCAGGTGTGGGCAAACCAGAAATGCCAGCACCTGATCCAAATTGTGTACTCCTTGACTTCTGCAGCAATCATTAGAGTTTCACATGTGGAAAAATGCATGTGCTGTGTATTTTAGTTTGCAGCCTTTTGTCAAGGCTGGTGTCCTTGGGCTGATTTCTGCTACTGGTAAATATAAATGGGGAAATGCATCCCCAAGGAGCATCAGGATCACCTGAGCCGTGGACTCCTCCAAACTCATGTCTGGAAATAGATCCCCTGTGCAGGGGAATGGCTGTGCTCTGCTTTTCTGAGCACCTACCTCTGTGCATGAGGATGAACTTCTGTACTGGGAGGGTGACTGAGCACTGGGACAGAGAGGCTTTGGAGCCCCCTTCCCTGGAGATATCCAAAGCCACCTGGACACAGTATTCCTGAGTAATGTGGTCATGGGGATCCTGCTTGAGCGGGGAGGTTGGACTAGGTGAGTTCCAGTGGACCCTTGCAGTGTGAGCCATTCCCTGACTCCTGTGCATCATGCATGGGGCACAGCCACCTGCCTGGCCATAGCCTGCAGTCCAGGGGGAGACTGGACCTTCTCATGATTTTAGCTGGGAAAAAATAATGCCAAAGCCTAGAGGTGGTACAGAGATGCTTCTGTTGCAATTACACCAAAGAGTAAGCACACCCCATGGTGGCTTGTACTGAGCAAAATTATGAAAGGCAAAAAATTGAAAATTCTTGCAAGAAACTGGCAATGCAAGCAATGCAAAGGGACCATGGTGGAGAATGAGGAGTTAAGCTTGCCTGGCTGACCA